TACAATCATAATCACATTATAAAGTTAGTTAAATTTTCTTGGGGTGGGGGTGGGGGAGCACTTGCCCTGCCGCCCTCCCCGCTGTGTACAGCCCTGTTTTAAATCTTATCTGCTATTATGATAAGTGATGAAATATTTCAATTGTCCCATGTCATCTTCATTATTCAGTTTCTTTCAAGAAAATACAAAATGTGAATCAAGTTTTTTTCGCAGATACATGTACGCGTTACGTACCTATTTTTAGTGGTGTTGGTGGATTTGGGTGACTGTTGGCTTGGCATGCAATACAGCTGCCAATCATACCCTAACAGCCTTATCTATGCCTGGAAACCATATTTTCTCACGTATTAATTGTTTTGTTTTGACAAGGCCTTGATGACCTTCATGCGCGATGGATATGGCTCGGTGCTGCAGTGAATGAGGTATAACAATACGAGACCCTCGCAAAACTATATCTGCCTCGTCATTAATGGTTAATTCGTCCCGAACGTTTATATACTTATGTATATCATCATTGTCTGTGTTGAGTTCATGCCATTTGGGTTTTGAATCCCACAATTGTTCACGAAGTCCTTGCAATGTTTTGTCCTTTTTGGTTTCATCCTTTATTTCCTGTAATGTCATTGCTTTCGGGATGGCATGGGTTGTAAGAGAATTGACATAATTCTCAGCGGCATCCTCTTGTGTATGGTCTACATCTCTGCTTAATGGATGCCGAGACAGAAAATCTGATGCATTGTTAGCACCACTGGTATAAACAACGTTAAAGTCAAAATCTTGAATTCTGAGATTCCATCTTTCAATTCGTGCTGGTGGTTTTGACTTGGGGTTACTCAAAATCATCTCGATAGGCTTACAATCCGTATATAATGTAAATTTTGCTCCATGCAAGTAGATGTAATCGCTCTATTGCGCATGCCCACACTATTGCCAATGCTTCACGTTCAGTTTGTGAGTATCGCCTTTCAACTTCCGACAAAGATCTACTTATATACGCAACAACTTTTTGATCATTTGTGCCTGGCATACGCTGTGATAATATCGCTCATAAACCCCAAGGTGATGCATCAGTTGTGAGTTCAGTGTGTTTATTCTGATCAAAATATGCCATACTTTGTCACTGGTAAGAGCACGTTTTACATTGTTAAATGCACACTCCTCATCATTTGTCCACCGGAAATGAGCATTTTTAACTGTCAATTTCCGGAGTGGTTCAGTAAGGTCACTAAAATTCGGAATGAATTTGGCACAATATGTTGCCATGCCCAAAAAGCTACGTATATATTTCACACAACGGGGTGCAGGAGCGTTCTTAATAGCTGAAACTTTTGCAGGATCTGCAGAAATGCCATCAGACGAGAAAACTAGACAAAAGAATGTAAGTTTGTTTTGATTAAACAGACATTTCTCATCGTTTAAAGTTAAGCCAATTTCCATAAAGCGTTGACAAACCGCATGTAAAGCAGCATCATGCTCGATCTGGGATTTCCCATATATGATAACATCGTCACTGATATTAAGGGCTCCAGGAATATGTTTAATTTGATCATGTATAACCCGTACGTGAGGTATGGATAAACTAATGCGTAGTAAATCAATTTTAAAGTGTTTCTTTTTGTATAATGTCTTAGTTTAGCGATCAGACCTGTACATTTAATAATAGTTTTCAGAACTGAGCTGATGTGGTTCTTCCATGTCAACTCTTCGTCAATTATAACTCCTAGAAACTTTACAAACGTCACTTGCTTAACCAAATCATTATTTATTTTGATTGTATTATCTGTATTCAGTAAAGACTTATTTTTTGATTTAAAAATTACAAACTTTGTCTCAGAAGCGTTGATTGATAATTTATTGGCATTGAGCCATTTCACAACCTTATTATTTCATTTTGTATTGTATTATACAAAGTTTTCAAGCACGAATTTGAATAGAAAGAATTCGTATCATCTGCATATAATACGAACGAAAGTATATCACTACAGCTTTCGATGTCGTTGATGTATAAAAGAAATAGCAATGGACCAAGAATTGAAC